CCACCAATCAGCCCTTGATAAAATCGGGCATTCACTCCATAGCCGTGCGTGGGTCATGACTGTGCGCAAATCGGAATTCTTTTGCTTGAGTCATTAATTTAGGTCCCGTCTACCTTTTGATTCCGATGGGAGGTAAAGGCACCTTTTTATTCAGGCGGGACGTGGGTCATTGCTGTGTGCAACATGCAGTCACTGCACTTTACGGTTAATACTCCTGTGAAGCTCTTTGAGACACACACACACACATGTGATAAGGCGTTATTTCAAATACCAAGTCTTTTTGCAAAAACCCAATTCACTGTGGTCTTTAGGACGTTGGCGGGAGCAGTTCAGTTGACGCTTTTGCCAATAAAACAATTTTATTTCCTATTCACAATTTTTACGAAAAGTGATTTGAGAGATTTAGCTTCTCCGTTAAAAAAATAAAAGTTATTATTAACTGCAATAATCTCTTTTGTATAGTTTCACAAGTTAAATGCAGGGCCTGAAGGGTTCTGACCAAATTGTGCCCCTGGTGCTCGCAAGTAATAGACAGGTCTAAGCTAACGCACCAGGGGAAGGGGGAAAAAAACTGTGATACAGAATGCACTTGTCTTCATGTTGTCTGTCACTGGGTGGCAATGCAGACAGGACAGAATCCGAGCAGTTAACAGCAGTTCAGACATATCCTGCATGCAAAAGGTAGCGTTATAGGCAGCCAGGCTCATTCACTCCACCGAGCCATTTCTCCTATAAAGGAACTTAAAAGTTACACAGAATGCTGCGTAGCCACACAGATCCTGCGAGCCGGACTCACTGAAAAATATACCTGTCCATTGCTCCAAAAGGGTGCATGAAAATAACAAATAATTGCACACAATTAACTAGTTAAATCCTTGCATTTAATGTATCGCGTCGTTGCGACGTCTCAAAGCGCTTCACAGAACATACTACGGAGTGAATTGACCGTATATTTATTTTGTGGTCTGTTAACACATAGGCCATTTAGAAGAATCTTTTTGTCTGGGTTTTGTATTGTAGTTCTCACATTACTGTGGAAATAAACCCCAAACTATTTAGATGGTGATAATGTACAATTGTTAACGGCGTTTTGACAAAGTTACTTTTGATTTCTCTGCCTTTTCTGCTCCCTTCTTCAGCGCCTATTATTTTAACTTTTACATTACGCGTTACAGAGTAATAATAGATAATAATAATCCTTACAATTGATACAGCACCGTGCATGTTTAGATAACACTTCAAAGCGCTTCACGGGATTTACTGTGAAGCGTAGTGACCATATTTGTAGGCGAATGTGGCAGCGAGTCGTGGATTGAGTGACCAAATTAGTGATATATTTAAATTTTTTCAAAAAAAGGATTTTTACTCCCAGAAAGCCGTCCGCCAATCGACTAACAACCGGGTTCCTACTCACTGCTGGGTCACCAGAGACGCGTGGAGTGAGGAGACTTGCCTCACGTTTCACCCAGCCCAGGAATCAAACCCGGATCATCTCGCTTGAGGCGAGTTCTCTAACCAATACTCTACAGGACTCCACACTGAGTCAGAACAGGGCAAAGTGAAAGACCACAACTCCAATCATCTAACACCACCCCCCACCCCTGGACTGGCGCGACCATCAATTTTCAGCTGTGGCAAGTGAATTGGTGCTGGGCAAATTAAACAGGACGACTGGATTAAATGTCAGCTCACTGCTCTCCATAGGAAGGGACGTCTGCTGTTACTTACAGCTTGGGGTGACTGAGACACAACAACAACAACAAGATTGCATTTATAGAGCGCCTTTCACGTCGGGAGGACGTCCCAAGCCGCTGGACAGTTGGGTCGGGACCCGAGCAGGAGGGGGGGAAATGGTCAGGGTGAGGGGAGGGAAGGGAGGGAGCGAGGAGGGGTTAGAGAGTCGAGAGGGGAGCTGAAGGCACGGCTGAGGAGAAAGGTCTTGAGACTGGCCTTGAAGGAGGAAAGCAAGGCGAAGGCACTGGGGGAGATTAAAGCCTGGGGGCTGAGAGGCTGAAAGCCCGGCCACCGATGGTAGGGCGGTTAGGGCGGGAGGTGAGGAGCAGACCAGTGGTCCAGTGAAAACAGGATCCAGCTTTCACAGTCGACAAGACTGCCTTCGAGTCGAGTCGGCTACATTGCTTTACAGCTACGGTAAATTCCTCACCGAGGCCGAAACAAAATGGCAGGTTCAGGCCACGTGGCAAGAGTTAGGGAGCAATGATGAGTGGCTTTATGGATGTGAGGACGAATAATGAATTCAGACTGAGTGAGTGGTGTGGAACAATGCAATACACCAAGCAAAATGGCATCCGTTTAGCGCCTTTCACGTTGGGAGCGCGTCACAAGGTGCTGGACAGTCAGTTTGTTGGATTCCTGAGGGATGGGGCCAAGGGTGGGGGACGTTGACCGAAGGCGCAGTCGAAGAGGAAGGTCTTGAGATGGACCTTGAAGGAGGCAAGGAAAGGGGTCGAAGGCAAATGGCTTCTGGGATGGGGTTCCAGAGCGTGGTGGCAGACAGGTAGCTTGAAGGCCCGATGGTCGGGAGTGGACAGGGCCGGGGACGTGAAGCAGGCCATAGCCTGCCGACAGGAGGGAGCAGAGGCCGGCGGGTTGGTAGAGTTTAAGAAGGTGTCAGAGGTCGGGTGAGGCAAGAGCCTGGAGGGGTTTGAAAGGAGGGGAGAAACACGGCAAGAGCATCGGACATACAGCTGCCATGAACCGTACCGAGATGGAATCCGCTGGTGACCATGTCAACGGGTCCACAGACATGTTTGGCAACACTATACGGTCCAACAAGTTTGTTTTTTTGTCTGATACGTGCAGAAACCCACCGCCATGTTTAAGAGGTTTGAACACTCTTAAACTCGGCGCTGGGTTTCCGTGTGTGTCAAGACACCCGGCTGACTAACAACAACAACAACAACAACAACAAATAGCTGAATCGAATAAAGCAAAGTTTGTTAAGTTTGCCCTCACTATTCTCTGCATTGGTGTCATCGCTCACTCAAAACTCTCTCCCCATCACTCACAGGCAAAAGGAACGGAAATTTTAGAGCCCTTTCAGAGATCAGCTTCTGTTTTAACATCCAAAATGTCTTCTTTCCTCCCCGTTAGTTAATTAATGGATTAAAATAAAGTCTCTTTTTCGGTAAGTAAACACATCTACATGATCACGAAACACAAGAGGAAGTAAAGAACAGAAAAGGATTTGCAATAACAACAACAACAACAAGTGTACATGGGACTGACGTGAGACTTGCCGTAATATGACAGATGCAAAAATAAAAATACAGAGAGGTGCCGTTCATCCCAGCTCATTGAGAAAGATGGTGATTAAAGCCCCAAAAATATCATCAATGCTTCATCCCAACCCGAGACAGAATGAATACACACATGCGCTGGGATATGGAGATGCCCAAGGATGCACTTTATTCTCTCCCCCCCACCCCCCGTGCCCCCGCACCCCCACCCAAACCCCTCACCCCCATTTTTCTTGGCTTCTTCCCAAGCTCAGGGCATTTCAATAGCAGCGGTTCAACAGTCCAGGGGCTCAATTAAAAGTGTGGGTTAAGAAGGCCTCAGTCGATTTGATCTCACCCTTCCAGAATAATAATTATATGATAATCGCTGCATTTGATATAGCGCCTTATCACGTCTTCAAGACGCCTCAGAGCGCTTCACAGCGGCAAACCTGTGAAATGGACGAACCAGGGAGGAAACGGTGGCGGCGGATTTTACTAGTAGGAGCAGACTGACAAGGGAATCAGATCGATTAGGGGGTATGAGAGAGTCGCAAAGGCTTTGATTTGGATGAACTTCAGTGGACTCCGAACATTCCTCTGCAGCGGATAACTTCCGACACCCCTCCCCGCCGAGTGGAAAGCCACACTATCAATCCTCGTGAGCAGCTGTACGTTAAAAGCAATAAAATCCCGGATCAATAACATGGCTGTTTCAACAGGAGTGTCCGAGGTTCAGTTCAGTCAGAACTGGGGGCCCAAACGTCAAATATTTACTGCAGGAATTACACCACTACCCCACAAGGCTACCCAGGAATGATCCCACTAAATTACACTGTGTGTTTGAGAGAGAGTGGGGGGGGTAAAGGCAACACAATTAATAGGCAGCACTCTCCATCTCGCAGATGTTTAATAATAATAATAATCCTTGCATTTGATATCGTGCCTTATCACGTCGTTAAGACGTCTCATTTTGCAAGTATTTGCAATCCCCCCCCCCACACCCACTCTGCTATTATTCTCTGGATTAAGGCTGGCATTGGACTTTGGGTGTTCACAGGAACGCACACAAAAAAATTGGGCAAATAGAATTGGGCGATTAGGACAGAAAAGCGAGAGGATTTGATGAGGAATCTAAAGGGTGCGAGTCAAACCTTATCATCTTAACGGGTGTACATTTTACGGTGTTGTTACTGTATTACTCCCGAAGACTCTGGAACGCTCTCCCTCAAAGCCCCCGCCTCGTCCCCTTCCACCCCCATCTTCAGGTGCTTGTTACGGGGGTATTTGCTGCTCCTGACATAGCACGTCCTCGTTACTTTAGTGTTTAGACCGTTTCCAGTGCCTCGATGCTGGAGCTGACACTGTTAAGCCGGAGGGTCAGTGGTGTGACCCGAAGGGATCGGAAGGTGACAGCTAATGGGGCAGCGACTGAAGCCGATGTGGGTTGGGATCTGACCTTTTCCTTTTTTGGAGTTTTTAAAAGGGCGGCAAGATCAAAAAGCTCGGCCAAGCAAAACAAAAACACCACACACGCACACACAAGCCCATGCAGCTATCGATGCGAATGAATGGGGGGGGGGGGTTGCAAAAATGCAAGGCTATTTTCCCCCCCGCCCCCACCCCCAACCCGGGAATGTGTCTGGACGCATTCAAGATGGACGCTGCTTGATGACTGACGTGCGTGGACAACCATCTTTCTGATGAATGGCACCTCCCTACACGGCGCTGAGAAAACATGAAAGCAAGAGCTGTACTCACATGAAAAACTGGGAGCCGTTAGTATCTTTTCCTCTGTTTGCCATTGACAACAGGAACTCCCTGTCGTGTTTGAGCACAAAGTTCTCATCTGTCCAAGAAAGGAGTAGTTGGGTCAGTCGAGAAAGGCGCTACCAGGGAGCACTTTATCTTGAACACTTGGCAATTGCACCAACAACAGAGTAACAGCCTTGCTCTAGGCCTCACCGCAGCTTAAACACGACAATAACGTGTCTAGAAAGGGACACAGGCTTCAAATTCCTTTACATTATCATTACCGATAATAATGCACTAATGCTCCTAGATGAGCAATTTAATTTTCGGCTGCGTGTCTGTGTGTGTCTGTGTGTGTGCGTTTGGGGGGGATGTGGGGGGGGGGGGGGTCGGGGGGGGGGGAAATGTGTACGCCTGTGTGCGTGTGTGGTGGTGTGTACGTGCGTGTTTTTGCGTGTGGAAGGGTGGTGGGCGTTCATGTCTGTTTGTGTATGTGCACGTCTGTGTGTGCCTGTATGTCCGTGTGGGGGGGGGGGGGGCGAAGGCGTATGCGTTTTTGAACGTCTGCGTGTGCGCATATCCGCGTATGTGCGTAACTGTGCACGTGTGCACAGCTGACGCGTGCGCAAATCCGTGCGTGTGCACATCTGCGTGTGCGCGCGCGCGCCTGTGAGCGCGTGTAAGTGTGCGTGTGTGTGTGTGTCTCTCTGGGTGTGCGTATGCTTCGTTTTGAAGTCTGGCAAGCAATAAAAGAAAAAAAAATCAGACCATATAACTCCATCAACTCTGCCGATAAAGGTACTTGCTTGGGAGGGTGCAAGGAGAGGGTGGGGGGGGGGGGGGGGGGGGGGGGGGGGGCGGGGGGGGGGTGGGGGGGGGGTGTTTTTTTTTAATTGTGTTACTTAGCTTTTTTTTCTCTTACCTTTTCATTTTGCAAAAGATCACATTCTCTATAAATAAAAGAATATGTTGAAAGTTTTAGGCAGGACGATAGGTTTTCTCATGAATAAATTGCCTAGCCTCCATGCTGCAAGTTGCAAGTTTTTTAACTGCATAATAATTTACCTCTTTTTTTTTTCTTTTATAAATTTTTTTTCTCATAAATCCACAACTTTTTTTTTTTCTCTTTCTCCCTCTCTCTCTCTCTCTCGCTCTCTCTCTCGCTCTCTCGTAGTTACCAGTGAACAAGCTAAGAAATGATTAGCCCAAATTCATGCATCTACTTTGTGCATGCAACAATCCAAGCACTAGCTACATGCAACAGGTGAGGGAATTAAAAGCAATACTATTCACGTATTGTTAGATGGGGTGGGGGGGGGGGGTGGGGTGGGGTGGGGGGTAAGATTTCTATTCAACAAGTAAAACAGAACGAGATCAAGGTTGGGCCTTTAGATTTCGACAGAAGTCCTACCTTCAAAGTATCCGCCGTAAATAGATTCTCCTCCTCGTCCATTACCTAAGAACCACAAGTGTGTAAGTACACCAGGTTCCAAACTGGACCCCGTGCAACGCGTCAAACATTAAAGTGCAGGATTCCTGCCCCTTCCGTCGAGCACACGTCCCGCAGCGTTTCACGAGTGTACGGCGGCTCCAGTCGCAGTGAACTGCGTGCGCTTGCAGGCACTCGCGGCAGGCCCGCACCACCAGCGTCAACCACAACAGCTTGCAGTCTCGTCGTTGGGAGCCCCCGTCTCTTCTCGAACTTCACCGCGGGGAGCCTTGATAACAATCATCCTCGCATTTTCGTGCAGCGCCTTATCACGTCGCCGAGACGTCTCAAAGCGCTTCGCGGGACACGCCGTAAAGTGAATCGGCTGCGCGTGTGTTTTGTGGGCGAAAGGCGGCAGCCGATTGCGCACGGCAGCGTCCCCACAAACAGCCGTGGGTTGAAGCGACCAAATTATTATTTATTTTTTAGAAAGAATTATTAACTCCCAAAAAGTGATCTACCAATCAACTAACAACTGACAACTTACTGCTGGGTAACGAGGTGTGGGAGGAGGAAGGAAACTTGTCTAAGATTTCGTCCTGCACCACCCCCCCACCCACCACGCCCCGCACCGGGAATCAACCCACAAACGGGCTTAACCACAACAGGCAGATGAGACCCGGGTTTAAGGGGCTCATCTTAGTGCCGTCAACGCAAGGTCCCAGCCCTGCACTCGAGTGTCAGTCTGGAACTTTTAAAGCCTTGACGCCGAGTCTCTACGAATAACCTTCTGTGTGAGTGTGTCTGTGTGTGTGTCTCTCTCTCTCTTCTGTGTGTGTGGAAGTGCTATGAGCCCAAACTGAGAAGGCTTTACGCTAGGATCACCTTTTGACAGTGCAAACACTCTCACGCACACATGCAAACAATAGTCTAATCAAAGTTATATCAAGGCAGTAATCCACTTGGCTCCCTAGCGCTGTGAGATGACTTGATACCGCTTTGATCATGAACACAGATGATATTCTTCCCACCTTCGCTGAAGTCACCACCTTGGATCATGAATTCTTTTACAATGCGATGGAAAGTGGAGCCCTTATAACAAAGCTGCTTTCGAGTTCTTTTTCCCAATCCTTTTTCACCTGCAAGAGACAAACCTTAGTTCAGCAGCAGTAATAATAATTCCTATGCTTGCATTTAATACAGCGCCCTATCACGTCTTCGATAGGATAATAATAATAATAATCCTTGTATTTGATACCGCGCCTTATCATGTCTCAAAGCGCCTCACAGGATACCCCTGTAACGTGAATTGATTGTATATTTTATGGGCGAAATGCAGCTCTCCCTTTAACACGGTGAACAAGATTCATACAGAAAGCGATGCACGGAAGGGTTCCTCGTACCGATGGCTTATATGCACGGCCTGATCGAGCTGCAGGACAAGTGTTGGGATTTTTGTTCCAACGCACAAGGCATTGATAAGGATACATCATGTACCACCAACACGCGGCAGTTGACATCTCAAGAGGTAAATGGTCATGCGAAATCACAATGACAACAAGCAACGTAACCCCCCCTCTCCCCGTACCTTCCCTCCCGCACCCCACCCCCTTGAAGTGCCGTGCGGGACAGAAAACTTTGTCGCTAACTTTTGTGAGCTCATCTGCCCCTTTTGATGAGTGAGAAGAGAAGAGGTACAGCAATGTTTATCCGGACTGGTTATTGTTACATCATCACCCAACAGGACGAGAAGTTTAACATTCCTCAAAGGGGACGCCTGGACAGGCCGAGATTCCAGCAGAATTTTGCATGAATAAAATAATAATAATCCTTACATTTGACACAGCGCCCGATCACGTCTTCGAGACGTCTCAAAGCGCTTCACGGGATAACACTGCAAAGTGAATCGACTGTGTTTTGTGGGCGAAACGCGGCAGCCGATGGCACACAGCGGCGTTCCCCCACAAACAGCCGCGGGTTGAGTGACCAATTTTTAAAAAAAATTAGGTGGGGGAAGATTTTTACCCACGAAAAGCCATTGCCAATCAACTGACAACCGGGTTCCTACTGCGTGTGTGTGTGTGTGTGGAGTAATTAAACTTGCCCAACTTTTCGCCCGGGAATCGGACCCAGGTCCTCTCGCTTGCGAGGCGAGTGCTCTAACCCACTGAGCTACAGGACGACTTATAGGTAGAAATTGGGTGAACTGTCCGCGTTAAGGTTTAAAGTGGGGAGACCCGGGGACTTTGGCAGCAGTCAATCTCTACCTTTCGTGATGGGGGCAGTTTAGGCAGTTTCTCAGCTAAACCGCTAGATGGAGCATTGCCCACTGGCTTAGCACAAGAGAGCGACGCCGGGGAAGATAAAAGAGGAAAGGAAAGGGTCCGGGAAGGGGGGCAGAAAGAGACGATGAGGGGGGAGGGAGGAGAAGGAACAAAAGGGTTGATTCGGTATCCGATGGAGCTCAGTGGTTGGAGCGTTCGCCTCGCGAGCGAGAGGACCGGGTTCGGTTCCCGGTCAGGTCGGGGCGAAACGTTGGGCAAGTTTCCTCACTCCACACTCACACACACACACACACACATGCGCCTCTGTTTACCGGCAGTCAGTAGGAACCCGGTTGTTAGTCGATTGGCGGATCGCTTTTCCGGGGGTAATAATCTCTTCAAAAAAAAATATAATCATAATTTGGTCACTTCAATCCACGGCTGTTTGCGGGGACGCTGCCGTGCGCAATTGGCCGCCGCGTTTCGCCCAAAGTCAGCTCAGTATATTGAACAGCAATGTATCCGGTGAAGCGCTTTGAGAGGTCTCGAAGACGCGATAAGGCGCTGTATCAAACGCCAGGATTATTATTATTATTACCCGCCTGAGAGAGATTTGTGCGTTTTTTTTTTAAAACGTGTTCAGCAAAAGGGGCCAAGTGATTTTTTTGTCCCCGACGGTAGCAAGATAGCGCAGACGCCATCCGCACTCAACAGCGCAGTGCAGTCTCGTTTACCTACCTGTGCAAAGAAAGAGGAAGTTTTTACAGGTCTTGGGGCAGACATCTGAGAACAATTCAAAAACAATGCGGCCCACTGTAAGAGATGGAGAAGTGAGTGATCATTCCAGGGTTTCCACAATCGCATGTAAATATATGCAGCTCGAATCCATCTGCCAGCGTGTCGCCAGAGCCACGGGTAACCTGTTAATAAATGCTAACGGAAAAACCCGTCGGAGTTGTTGGAGAATTAGCACATAACCCACGTCTGAAAAAGCTTTTCCTCCAAGGACTGTGGTTTATCCACCAGCTCAGTCTCACATCCTGCCCGCGTCGAATTCACTGCAGCTTAGGAATGGACAGGGACGTCAAAATATCAAACCCACTCAAAAACAGAACGCACGTTATTAACAGGCTCTCGTTTTTTTTATATATGTGCGTGGCTCCTGACGGAGTCTTTCTGATCTCAGCGGGACAGCCTGGCGCGCGTTTCCACCGCGCGTCAAACAATACACAGCGTTTTCGCAATTTTACAGAATATTGTACCAGGAAAACGGAAAAATAAGCTTTTAAGTCACGTAAAAAGAACAACAACTTGCTTTTACGTAGCGCCCTTCATGCAGGATAGCGTCTCGGAGCGCTGATATACAATACAATATTTACACAGCCCCTTTCACGTTGGGAGGATGTCCCAAGGCGCTGGACAGTCGGGGATTTGGACCCGAGCTGGGGGTTGGGGTAAGAGAGGCTGGAGGGCAGGGAGGGTGACCGAAGGCTCGGTTGGAAGAGGGGGGTCCTGAGGCGTGCCTTGAAGGATGAAAGGGAGGGAGCGAGGCCAAGGGAATGTGGGATGGAGTTCCACAGGATGGATATGGGAACAGAGATGGCCGTTCAACCTGTGAACGCTGCTCCGCCATTCCTTTAGATCATCAGCGAGTGATTTATCTGTTTTTAATACCGTTTTGCCTGCCCTTTCTCCACACTCCCTGACTGCGGCCTCTTGAAACACCCCACCGTCTCTGCACTAACAGTCCTTTAAACCAAGTGATTTCCCCACTCCCACCATCCTGAGCGAGGAAATATCAACCCCAACCTCGGTTTTCTTCTCAAAGAAATTTGCGCGCAAAGCTTCGCGCCAAACAACCACTCTTATTGATTTATACAGCGCCGTTCACACCAGGCCGTGCGGCCCAGAGGGCTCGTGCGTTGCACATATCGTCGGAGGTGCCGCCTGCAGGTGAGACGTTAAACCGACGCCTCACCTGCCTGTTCAGGTGGACGTTAAAGACCCCGCGGCTGTTTGTGGGGACGCTGCTGGGCGCAAATCGGCTGCCGCCTTTCGCCCGCAGAACACACAGGCAATTCGCTTTACGATACAGCCTGCGGAGTTCCTTTGAGACGCCTCGATGACGTGACGGGGGCGCCACATCAACTGCGCAGGTTGTTACCGTCACCGTGAGGAAGAACGGCAGCGAACCAACAAAGGGAGGGTGAAGAGGAGCCCCGGGGCTTTGGAGAAGAGAAAAAATAGAGGAACTCTCAAAAGGGCATTAAAATATTGCAGACCAGAAATAATAACTAACAACAACAATCCTCGCCTTTGATGCAGCGCCTTGGCACGGACTTCGAGACGTCTCAAAGCGCTTCACGGGATACGCTGTAAAGCGAGTTGACTTAGTCTACTGCGTGGGCGAAACACATGCGCGTGCGAGAGAGAAATTAAAATGATGCAGCTTCCCATCTGCGTAGCTCGATTCGACCTTCCTGTGATTAACGAGAGCCTTTTTTTTTTCGCGCGCGAGTTGTCTTCGGGTTAACAGTAAAGCACAACCTTCGATGGTTTTTCCCAGGACGGTTTAATTCCCGGCTCTAAACCAACACAATGCCGGAGCAGGCTCCACGTCTAGAGGGATATCATTAGCCTCGAGCTGCATTTTCCTTGGACCGGACCGGGGCTGATCATCTCTCTGATCTTTTCGGCTTCTGGTCCCCGTTTCCGTGGTAACCAGCTCGTGTCCCCCCCCCCTCAGTCGGGGGAGTGTGAGGTAGAAGAATAGGAACTCCCGATTTAGACATTCGGTGCTTTAATTCATTCAAATCGTCTAATCCAAAAGCGTGGCCCGCAAAAGCAGTAAGTCATTGAGTAACATGTGAATTTGTGAGCATCGAGAGTCTTCCTTCGGGTTAAAAAAAAAATCACTCATGAATGCCATCGCTTTGTGAGGAAAAGGCTTCCAGGTGACACTGTCTAATCGCGAGCTCTGGCACAAACTCCTTAGGGTCAGAGAAGAGCGGATGACGCGCCAGCCTACAGGATTTTAAGCGGAACAGACACAAGCAAACGTTGCAACCAAACCCCCCCCCCCCCACCCCGTATAAAATGTTACGCTGGTCTCATCAGTTAAATAAGGAATGCTGGACGAAAAAAGATCAAGCAAGGTCCATCTAGTTGGCCCTTCCACCTTCCTGGCGGATGCACGCACATGTGCCCTGAACTACCCACGCCACGTACTATATATCCCATAATGTTATTTCCACGACTTGTGGGACACTGCTGTGGGCGGCTGGCTGGCTGTGTTTCACCCAAACCCCCCCAAAAAAACCAGTCACTTCACTTTACAGTCTATCCTGTGAAGCGCTTTGAGACGTCCCAACCACGCAATGAGGCACTATATCAAATGCGAGGATTATTATTATTTCTCTGTCCGCCAGAGACGATAAGCAAATTCTCCACAATATTAACCCACCCTCATGTTGCTAGTATTTGGCGGTGTGTTGTTCATAGCATAAGAGGACAAATCATGATAATTACAGAAGAGGAGGCGTTTTTTGGCTCATCGAGTCTAGACTGGTGTTAGCTCACCCATCAAAGCTAATGGCTTCAACTCAATGCCTTGCCCTCTCCCCTGAACCCTTCATAGCCCTCTTCAAACGCTTATCCAGATCCCTTTTAAATATTGTTAATAGTCTCAGCTGCAAACAGGCACTTGTAGAAGCATTCCATATTCATAACCTTGTATTCCTCTTCAAATACTTCAAACCGATCGTCTTTTCAAACGTTACGCGGTCTCGGCGTCGATCGACAGCACGGCCCCGGGAGCGAAATGTCGCTTTGCTAAAGAAAGCTCTCTGCTTTCCCAACTGGAGCGTTAATGGGGAGAGAGAGAGAACCCTAAAACTCATGGAGTCGTGCTGTAGCTCAGGGGTCAGAGCACTCGCCTCGCAAGCCAGAGGAACTGGGTTTGATTCCCGGCTAACGAGAAACCTCAGGTAATAATCCCTCCCCCCCAAAAAAAAATCAAAATAATAATTTGGTCGCTCAACCCACGGCTGTTTGTGGGGACGCTGCTGTGCGCGATCGGCTGCCGCGTTTCGCCCACAAACACAGTGTATCCCGTGAAGCGCTTTGAGACTGTCTCGAAGACGTGATAAGGCGCTGTATCAAATGCCAGGATTGTTATTGACAGTGCATCTACAGTAAACATAATCCTAATGATTGACTGATCCAGAAAGGCAGTTGGCACCTTATTGTAGTACTTTTCCATTATTGGGACTGTCTGTCTAGACTAAGAGTCTCAAAGTCACGGGGGGTTTGAGCCGAAGACCTTCTGACTCAGGAGGCAAGAGCTACCAGCCGCCGAGTAACTGAACTTGCCCGATACGATGGGTGACCACACTCGCACGTCAGTCGGTTCGCATCACCTCTCTCGTGGTGGTGTATTTTCGAAGCTAAAAAAGCTTTGTTCCTCTACATAACGCACAGACAACAACAACTTGCATTGTTCGTCTCGGAGCGCTTAAAGTCAGTGCACTTCACGGTACTTTGAAGTGCATCGGGTCTTTCTCCTGCCGGGAAAGGCACTAAAGTAATATTTATTTCGAGTCCCTCAACAATCTAGTGCTGGTGCTGCAGCTGGAACCCTTGGCATCAAGTGGACAGAACGAGCAAACAAGACCAACACATTACACAGCGCAAATTAAAAAGAGTCCCACTGTTTATAAATATAATGGTTACCCGTGTGACTCAGCGTCAACTAGAACGGTGGTATTTCAGCACGCTGTGCGCATTTTATGTTAGCGCTAGGACATATCTAAATATAATTTAACATTTACTGTTGTGAGTAGGAGTGGATGCAGTTATGCCCATTTCCATGGTTAATCACTCTATGTAATTGATTGAGGGCGACTGTGGAATGCTAACCCAATACGAGAGAGACGTGGGGGCGGGCGGGGGGTGTCAGCGGGGAGGGACACTTTGGGGCTGAACTGGCTCCATGTCAGAATCAAGACCGCCCTCTGAGGTGGTCTTGGTAGTCTGGTTCCTGAGCCTGGAGGGGCCGCAGTATTCCAGGGCACTCACCGCTGATGCCAACACGGTCCAGCCGTGGCTCAGCGGCAGGACCTGGAAGGGCCGACCAGTCACTGGGAGCAGAGAATCCTCCCCCTCGGCTCCTGTTAACTCTGCAGCCAAAGCCCTAACTAACGGGTAGGGTGGTCCTCGCTGGACAAGCAGCGGGAAAGCTTGGCCAGACAGGGCTCTCGATGGCCGAGCTGTGTGTGTGGGTTTAGCTGGTTAGACTCCAGCAGTTACCCCCAACGCACACTCTGGGCTCCCCCCAAGCCTTGGTCCTTGCCAACATGAGTCTAATACTCACTGGAATTAGGTAAGCTGTGGGGGGGGGGGGGGGGTCCGTCAAGAATTTCCACATATGGGAGCTCAGCTTGGTTTGGATACTCTCTGAAACACGGTGATGGGATTCTGCCTGTGTCAGACACCCGGCTGACCCCCCCTGGCCCTCCCCCTCCCCCGCCCACCCCCCCATCCCCCCTACCCCCCATCCCTCAGGAAAAATAAAATAGGAGAGAGAGAGAGAGAGAGAGAAACGTGAAAGGAAATGAAATGAGTGGGTGGGGAAAGAGTGAGGCAAGTCAAAGTGCTTCAGCAACTGATAATTAGGTTCCTGTTTAACGTATCATTACAAAAAATAATTCGAATTCTCGGTGCAATCGCACAGCGAGGTGCGTGACAGCTTCTAAACGCAGAGCATCTGAAGCTGTTAAGACGCTGAAAAAAGCCATTTCCGGATGTCTTTAACG